GGTAAAAGATTTCATTCTCCCAGTTGGAAGTGGGCCGCTATAGGATGTCCTATCTTTTTCATTCACATTGGAGGAATCAGGGATCGGGTCTGAGATCAGGGATCGGTTTTGAGGGGATGAGGTGGAAGGAATGGTGGTAGATATCTGAGAGGATTTGCCTATTGCTATGAGAAAACCTCTGAAAACTCATAGTAGGTCAGTCGCCAGTGGGGCTCGGACCCACGACCTACCGAATGCGAGGTAGATGCGTTACCGCGGAGCCACCTAACTGAGTATAGGTCCTGGATTATAATGATCATGATTTATTACAAAGTCATCGCTATACACCAGCCTATTGTACCGATTTCAAACTCTCGAACATTTAAATAACCCGCTAATAACCATGGTGGTGTGAACCAGTCCATGCCGTTTCGGTGAATGAGATCCGGGATTTTTAGAATCGGTTCCAAGAGCGCTGAGTGTATATTTCTGAGATAGGAGAAAGGTATCGTGATGAGCTGAAAAAAGACGGGTAGCTGTAGAAGCGCACGTCTAGTTCATTTTTATTGACCTCTTTATAAGGTAGCTCACTCGTAAAACGGCTTTTCTTAAGAATTCAATAAAATTGAAATATAAGGTCAATGAAAGTGTCTTTTACGTAACTAAAAACAAAATAAATTTTTTGTTCTTCTGTGAAACGAAATATTAACAATCAAAATGTGCATAATTAACACTCTTGAAGTCTGTCATGTACAGCAATGCATTTATTTCAAGATATTTCGAAAACGGTTCTTACTTATGTAATGTAATTCAAGAAGTTATACAATTTTCTAAACAAACGCTGAATTTTTTGACCATTAACGCGTTAACCAAAATGTATGTTACATTACTTTAGGCCTGTTTCGGTTCTTTCGGAAACTAGTTCAGAATCACTGAATTACACTCGACCAGCTAAGAGGTTGTTATAACTTCGCGACGTGCTCTTGAAAAATTAATTCGTCCACTGTATTTGAGAACTGGAATCGATAGTTCTGTTTGAATCAAAACAAGCCCTTAAAATTAGTATGAGGAAGTCACACATTTCTGTAGCCCATCATTCATATATTTGCGACGTTGCGACGTTTAGTGCGTTTTTTTTTCTTCAATATTTTCCATCCCGTATATTAATAAAAATGAATATCTCATTGGTTCGAAGGTCTTAAATTTTAACATATTATATGTTCTATTTTTAGCAATTATAAAAATCTTATCATAATTTTATTGTTTAAAACCACTTGATATCTAGGGTTTCCGTTTATTTCATAATATACATTTTTTAAGATGGAATGTATTAAGCAAATATTTTTTTGTAGACTTAATTTAGGTTAAACTTAATCATTTAAAATAATTTTATTCAAATGATATTGGACTGGGAGCTGCTCATAAGGTATAAAATTTGTGACTGTCAGATTTGATTTTTTTTTTAATACATTTCAAACCTAGTAAGAGTCAAATTTAAAAAAAGGACCAACATTTACGTCACAAGATACAACAATTTTGTGCGGAAGGGGCCACCTAATCTAAAACAGTGTAAAACAAAATATGTTAGAGCTATCAATACGTAAGACAAATTAAAAATAAAAAACCGACCAAGTCGGACTCGCGCATGAAGGGTTCCGCACCATCTTACAAGATTTAATACTATGTAGGTACTAGGTACTTTTTAAATACTTTAGCAAAAAAGCCAAAAAAAAACACGTTTCTAGTAGGGCAGCTCCCTTCAATTTTTAATTTATATTTATTTTTATTATTTATTGTTATAGTGGCAACAGAAAAAAACATTCTGTGAAAATTTCAACTGTCTACCTATTACGGATCATGAGATACAGCCCGCTGACAGACAAACGGACTGCGGAGGCTTAGTAATAAGGTCCCGTTGGTTACCCTTTGGGTACAGAACCCTAAAAAGATAAAGGTTTAGAGATTTTTTGCCAGATTGTTCTTGACTAAACGTACCACCCAGAAACTAATCGTAAGACAAAATACGAGTATTTGGAATTTTGCTTTAAGACAAGGGATTTAGGAACAAGGGCCAATAAGGTATAAGAATAAAACCAATGTAATTTTGTGTGGAATTGAATTTTTATTCTAAAACAGTTTCGTAAGAAAAAATATTCGCGGGAATATTGATTTGAAATATAAAAAGGCAGCAATGTACGTGATAAAAACGAATAGAAGAAGAAGAAGCTTCTGATAACAAATCAGAAGAAGCTTGAATTTAATAAACATGCTGTTTTTTTTATTTTGTCGAATAACTCGTCGTTTACATTTTGTTTTCGGATGTTTTATGTATCGTATATTTTATATAATTTTGTATTAAATAAGAAGTAAGAAAACACGGTTATTTACTTTTTGAATTAAACCGTCCCTACTTAGTTTACTGCTTAAAGGACTTTGAGCAGAACTTTTTTTTCATTACGACTCATCTCAATTACTTGTCCGTTCCGAGTTATATCATCTTAAATGTAATTGCACGATAAACCAGTGCTTATATTCTGTTATTGTAGTGCTTATTACAGGCAAATAATAGTAATTATTACTTCTTAGTAATATAAAAACAATTATAATATCCGGATATATCATATGATGCAGTCGATAATTTTATCTGCCACGTGTATGCCTTACTAAAGCATAATAGAAAAAATTACAGAAGAGTATAATACTTAGCCGACGAAATCTCATAGATTTCGCGCATGACGTTGTGGTGTGGTAGGTATATGACTACAGCCACAATTACGATTTTATTTTTAATACTCGTAATTAAATTAGTTTTTCTAAAAGCTGACGAAATAAAAATAGAAATGCTGTCGATTCTACACAAGAATATTTTTACGTATACAGGGTATTCCAACGAAAAATTAACCCCCCCGTCACTCATAAACGGGCGTGTGATCAAAAATTTTAAATAACACATCAATTTTTAGAGGGAGTCCAATTTTGATATAACATTCAAATTTGAAACTTCACCCCCTTCCGGTCAGCGGCCACCCCCAAATTTTTTTGAATGGCATGGGAGGTCGGGTGATACATCATTTGAAAGGTATCTTATCACTCTATTACTTTTGTAATTTTTTTCAAAATTGGTTTGATGTATCACTCGATCTCCCAATGCCATTAAAAATAATATGGGGGTGGCCGCTGACCGCAAGGGGGTCGAGTTTCGAGTTTGAATTTTATATCAAAATTGAACCCCCTCAAAACAAAAATTGACGTGTTCTTTAAAATTTTTGATCACACGCCCGTTTCTGAGTTGCGAGGGTGATGAAGTTTTAGTTGGAACATCCTGTATTTAATCTCAATAACTAAAAAATATGCTGACAATTAGTTTGACAGAATCGCCACTTATATAAAATTTTAAAAATAATAAACGGGTGACCAAAATATGAACTGTGATTGGTGGATTTCATTTTTTTGCAGTGTTCTTACTACTTAGAATGGATATGAAATATATTCCTTTTGTAATATGTGCGTAGATAAACTAACATCCATGTGGGTGTATAAAATAGTAGTTTGTGCAACAAGAGTTGTACAGTATATTTTTTCTACGACCCACTAACGAAATTTAGGTTGTTTAGATAAAACAACTAATTAAAAATAATTTATTACTTTTACTCATTTATATAATAAAATAAAATTCAAATCTGACCGTCCAATAATTTAAAACAATTTACTTTAAAAGATATACAAGCGTTGAAACAAAGAACAGATTCTTTGAAAATGGAATTTTTAAAAAGAAGTAGATAGTAAAACAAGCGGAAACAGAATAAGAAATAAGACAAATAACAAAATAAACATTAAACGAAGGTTATTAGGTACAAGAGGACAATATGAAATAAGGCGATTAAAGAAGGACATAATGTGTAACGAAATTAAGGAGAAAATGAAGAAGGAAAAAAACGGAGACAAAGTAAAAACCAACAGGTTAAATAAAAAAACCTGTGTATTTATCGATAAAGATAGAGGTCCGTATTTATTAATCAGTATTGGCCAAGTCGGTCTTATCTGTATGAAAATAGAAGATCATGGGAATTTCTAAATTCCAGTTTATCGCTGGAACCACCTGGAACTCTAGAGCAGATATACCCAAGATCGATTACTTAAGAATGCTTATATGACCCACGCAAGCGCAAGCAGCGGGATTTGAATTGTTTATTTTGTATAGTTTCCTCACGGCTCCCCCATTTACTCTATATGGCCCCTGGGAGCCGCAGGGCACACTTTGGGAACCACTGGTTTACAGTATTTAGTGGAATTGATAATTTATTTGTTTAATGTTTTTATGTTGCTGAAAGAGCTTAAACACTTAAAAGTATGTTATTAGTATGAAGACTAGAGATAAGTCTTCATAGTTATTAGGCACACAGCGATGTAATCGACAGGATCAATGATATAAATAGTCATGTAGATTGCTCAAAGCAGGTCGCATTGCGACAAATTTGTGAAGGCTATGAGTAAAATGTTTTCTAAAATGAAAAACAAATATTTTAGGTTTTAGTTTTACAGTACTTGACAGTTGATAGTGACAGAGACAGAAGTAATGATTAATGCACAAAATCTTGCTCTAAATATTGTACAATATTTTTTATAGTATATTACACAAAATATTTAAAAACAATGAATTTATTGTTTAAAAAATTGTACAAGAAATTGTATCAAATCTTGTACAAAAAAACAGTTTTTAGGCAAAGTCGTTCAGTGAGTCATCAATAGAATGTAAATAAATGAGAATCCCATTAACTATTTTTTATTCATTCTTTGCATTCTTATGCAAAACACTCTTCCAACTGGCATAAAAATAATATTAATTAGGTTAATAATAATAATAAATGTAACATAATTACAAGTCATGATCGTTAATATTTATTGAGATTAAACCTACACCAATAGTTGTTACACTTTTAATTTTCTAAAAATACACGCAATACATAAAAAAAGCAATTGTACATACATATTAAATAACGCATATAATTATGATTACTGACCTTGAGTGACTTGATCAGCCTTGTCCTTGCTTACACTTTTCGCTCCTTCTCTAAGCAGGGCCACGACGATGGTTGCCAATCTGGGGAAAATTATACCGACATCGAAGAACAATCTTTGGTTTATCGTGGCCTTCTTTTGAGGATCAGAGGGGTAGAGCTCGCTTTCGGGTGCGTATTTTTCTATCTAAAATTAGTGGAGATTTAAAAAGGGCAAGACTATAATGTAGATAATAAATAATGGTAGGATTCTGGGAATTATCCTATAAGTTACAGAATCTGTAAGATATCGTAATGTTATTTTTTACAGATTTTGGCTTATATATATATTATAGATTGTCTCAGAATCGACCTATTAAACTGGGTCTAAAATACCCCAAGGTACAATATTTTTTAAGATGAATAACCTTAACAATCTTTGATTTACCGTTTCCTTCTTTTTGGGATTAGAGGGGTACAGCTCGCTTTGGGGTGAATATTGTTTAATGTAGATAATAAATAAAACTGGGTCTAAAATTGAACCCCGAGGTACTTTATTTCTTTTTATATTATTTGTATGTTCGCTATTCTTACGCGGGTTTCGGATTAAAAATTTTATGAGTATTTCCAGGTAAGTACCCGAAAGTTTGACCTGTTCTTTGGGGAAATATCAACTGGTTAAATGAAATGAAAAATAATGTACAACTTTTTAATTAAATAATAATGGAGAATATTTTGTATAATTGAGAGCAGAATTAAACTTCTTCATTAATGGAGTCTAATGTGGCTATTATAAACCTAATAATAATTTTATATTACACCTCACATAGAAAATATGGTCTATGTATAATAAGAGGGTTATTTAGCTCAAATAAAATATTTTCTAACATAAAAATTTGTTCCATGTAGAGAGTTTCAAATGAAAAGTAAAAAAGTTAAACTTGCCAACAAAAATGAAAATTAGTCATTATCATCCAAAATATCATAATCGTCATCATCATCACTTTCATCACCATTAATTGTTATTATGATTGGACTTATTTCGTTCATTTTATTTTCACGAGTCCACCAATCTTCTTAGTTTCTCGCACTTAGATATACAGTTCCGCCACACTTCTGGAGTTGCAATTGAAAGTGCTTTTCGCCAAGTTTCCTCCCGAACTGCGTCGGCACTATAACCATTAGGTCCAATATGGTTGTCATAATATTGTTTTGCTATTCCCCATATATATTCGATGGGATTAAACTGGCAATGATACGGTGGCAGACGTAAAACTTGATGACCGTAACTTTCAATAATCTGATCCACAACAAAGGTTTTTGGTTTTGCGAGTATATTTGCCAAGCGTAATAATTCTGTTTTTAATATATATATTGAGGAAATGGTATATGTTCCTTTGTCAACCATTCTTTAATTTTATCAACAGTCCAAGAATTCGTTGGACTTTTGTTTAATACTTCAGAATGGTAAGGTGCATTGTCTAAAATAATTACGCTGGGCTCACTTAAACTTGAGAGAAGTTTTTCATGCCACCATTTTACAAACATTTCTGTGTTCATATTATCGTGATAGTCACTGGAGTTTGATTTAGATGAAAATATTAAACCAGCACTTTCTATAAAACCCGATTTCCCTCCTGCATGTAAAATTATGTGTTGCTCCCTTCTCCATCGGTATGTTTGATGGACTTTACGTTATCATCTTGCCATATTCTCTTGGTTGCACCCCTAGAAAATATCCATGGTTCGTATAAATATATAAAATTCGCCCCTTCTTCTTTAAATTTAGAATATTTTCTTAGAAAGTTAATTCTCTTGTGCACGACAAAACTTCTTTCACAAAGGGCCTTTCTGTTACGCGTCTGTAACTATCGTATCGTACAGTCTGAGTCATCATTCGTTTCTTGCAACGATTTATACCAGTTTACACCAGTTTAAACCAGAAAATAGCACTTAACAAGGCGTTTTAGCCACTAATTTCGGCGAATTTTAAAAAATCATTTGCAAGAGATTAAGAGCTTAACTTTGGAGATTATATTAAGAATAGTGCTGTTGAGGAATGCATTTATTTTCATTATGATATTTCAAAATTTAAAGCCCTTTGATTTTTTTTCTCGGAAACTGGAAGGAATTAAAATTTTAAAATATATGCATATTTTAGATATTATTGCCTAATATATTTTGCCAAAATTTTAGTTTTTTAAAAAAATTACTTTTTGAGATATCCTTGTCCGAAAATTATAAGGGGTTGCTGTAATCACCTTAATTTGGTTTCACTAATTCCTAGAGCATCGCATACGCGTTGTTGTAGAGACATTACCGATTTTAAAGGACCGCCATTTTCTTTTTCATCCGTAAAATACTTATGTACACTACAAATTAGACTATCTACATCTAACACACGTCTAGGCATTTTTAAAATTTCCACTAAATTTACGATATACATACAATGTCAACGCTTGCAAAGAATCAATTCAACTGTAATATTTGTAACAAATTTAGTACCTACCCTAATGTTATTTTAATTTAAATCTGACCATTAGGATAATTTTACCTAATTTCTTGGGAAGAGGCTTATTGGAACTGGTTGTCAATGACTAATTTGCATAATTTTGTTAATCCGAAACCCGCGTAAGTACAGCGAACAGATTGTAATCTACTGCTTTTGGTACTAAAAAAGTACTATCTAGAACTATTAGTTTCGGAAGTGGTTCTTTCTAAAGGCTGTGTTAATTGATTTTTAAATAGTACTACATATTTTCAATGCAATTGAGAGTTATTTTTTCTTATTAATCTATCAAATTAACGTTTTAAAGTAATCCACTCGTAATTTTTTTCAAGATAAATAATCTTTTGATAAGGATGATTAGAGTCTTAATCCTAAAAACCTTTAATACTTCAACGTCAAGTATTGTTTGGATAGTAAATCATTTTATTTCAGAATAAAAAAGTTACAAAAAAATAGGATAGATAGGCGGAGGAAGCTCTGGGAAAAGCAGTTAAAGCAATGTAAACAATGGCTAGACAGGAAAAATGAACGAATTGATTAAACGAATATATAAGGTGTTTGTATATTCGACCGACAACGCTTTATCCAAGAGAGCTCTCGTTAATTGATGCATTTTTATGTAGGAACATGAACCCTTAAAGGGATTAGTTTCGGAGATACAGGGTGTTAAAAGTTTTGATTCAAAATTGGCCATAAATCAAAAACGTCTTTAAATCTTTTTTTTTCAAATTTTATCTATCAAAAACTCATTAAATACATGAACTATTAAACATTTGACACGTGCCTACTAGATTAGAATTTAGAAAAAGTACATGCAGACTTTTGTCTGGGAGTACATTTCTACAACACCGTCCATTTTAGCTCCATAAAAGGTTATTACTTTTTTAACTAAAATTGAACAGGGCATTTTAAAAAATAATAATTAATAATAATTAATAATAATTAATTAATAATAATTAATTAATAATAATTAATAATAATTAATAATAATTAATAATAATTAATAATAATTAATAATAATTAATAATAATTAATAATAATTAATAATAATTAATAATAATTAATAATAATTAATAATAATTAATAATAATTAATAATAATTAATAATAATTAATAATAATTAATAATAATTAATAATAATTAATAATAATTAATAATAATTAATAATAATTAATAATAATTAATAATAATTAATAATAATAATATAATTCATTCACCGATTCATAATATTTATACAGAGGCACAATAGTAGTTTGTGGAACAAGAATGGATATGAACGAAAATCTACACATTTCAAAAATTATTTTAGGCTATTTAGACAAAATAACTAGTGTTAAAATAATTTGTGACTTTTACTAATTTATAAAATTGATGAAACATAATAAATAAAGATTTAATTTAATTAGTCCCCAGCCCAGATTTGAACTCGGACCTCTCGCATGGAAGCCAAACACCCTGTTCTCGCCTCTATCGACGCGCTTAACATTTTAGTTTTAATACTCGTAATTAAATTAGTTTCATATAATTTGATTAAAAATGATGTATTTGTAAATGTAGACGAAATAAAAATAGAAATGCTATATTATTTATCGATTCTACACAAGAATAACTCATTATTACGTATATTTAATCTCAATAACTTAAAAAATATACTGACAATTAGTTTGACAGGATTGTCTCTTATATAAAATTTAAAAAATAATATTTACCGGGTGACCAAAATATGAACTGTGATTGCGGATTTAATTTTTTGCAGTGTTCTTACTATGTAGAATGGATATGAAATATATTCGTTCAGTTGATCGCAATGGCATACTTTTTCGCTTTGTAGAATGTGCGTAGATAAGCTAATATTCATGTGAGTGTAGAAAAAAATGATCATATCCACTCTTGTTGCACAAAGTACTACATCATGCAAATCAAGTACAAAATAAATTAAAATACACTGGAAATATGAAAAACAAAAATAAAATGAAATAGTGAACATTACAAATACAATATATTCTGGAAATATCAGATTTTAATTGAAAAATTATATAATGCCGCAGATGGAATTTTCTAATAGGTTGATAACTTGGGTCTCGACATGCCATAGATAGAATATGTAAATTTAATGTCCTTGTATCGATAGTTAAATTCGGTCCCAACAACTTGTGAACTTTATGTAGGAAATCATTAAGAATTTTAAGTATTACGGAATGTTTGCCAAATAATTATTACCAAGTTCAATAAAATTTAACAAAACTGTGATGCTTTTCTCATTCTATATATAATTTTTCTGCGAAGCAACCTGCGATAGCTCTAGGCCTCACAGGTTAGGTTTTTTCTCTAAAAAATTTTAATCTAGAACTGAAGGGTTTCTATTTAATACTGCTCTATTTTTCTGCACAGAATAAAAAGTTCCGAATGTATATCCTTTCAATGAGGATTTAAAAATTAATATAAAACATTAATTACTATTATTGTCTGTTTTAATTTGTTAACGTAAGGGGTCGCCGAAGACGTATCACAGGACCGAATTTAGATATTTTTAGGCGTACATGTGCTCGGGAGCCAATTTGCATGTATCCTGGCCCAGAATAATCAAAGCCATGTTTTATAATAGAATACTTCTATAACTGGATGAATTTTTGAGTAAGGCTGGTATAAATATTGATAGTAAAAGTGTATTCACTATGCATAAACACGGTAGAATCATATATTTTTGGTCCAAAGGTAAAATGACGTATGTTTGATTGTGTCACTTTTCAGGAGAACCAGATGAAATGCTCAAACTTAATTGAGCAATATATTGCATAATATCAACAAAATTGACTTATCAGACCATAGGACAGAGCTGACTGGACAAGACTAAAATAATATGTTATTTTAAGAATTTCAGGAGACTATTTTTAATTAGTCTAAATAGAGAAGTAACTAATTACGCTTTTTTGTGACATAATCGATGTTTTTTGAATGTCATTTGACTGTCAATAATGATAAAAACTTATGATGATAAACCTGCTCATTAGATTTATTCAGTTTTCAAATAACTGATCCTTTGTAAAACATTTTTTTTGGAAGAAAAGACAAAAGACAAAAATGTTTTTAAGGGATTAATAACTAGGTAATTGTCCAAAAAATTAGGCATTTCAAATAAATAAAACCCGTTGCTAAGGGTTGCGACATACGATGTAATCTATCTACAATACGTGAAATCATAAATAATGGATTAAATTTAAATAGTTTATGTCGAACACAATGAAAATATTATTAAAAAAAAACCGCCTATACATTTTCTATAAATTCGCCGGCTTGGCGACTTATATTTCAAATAAAAATAGCGTCCAAAAGTCCTTCCGATTGGCAGCTATTGTTTGACAGGTCGTTGGAATGCCTAATAATTTGTGAAACTCTTGGCTGTCACATTCTTTTTTCTATTATGAAGACCTGTAATTGGGCCTTGGCCTGATCATTATATAAATTAATTACTTTTGTTCAATGCCGTTACTAAGTATTCGTTTGTAATGGTAAAATTACTATCGTCTGCATACAATATATCCACTGTTATTAGAAGGACGTGTATTATATTCATATGAAAAGTACTGGCCCTAATGTGGAGCCTACTACGTTAATATTTCACGATATTATAAATGGAAATTGTCGAGTTGATTTTTAAAATGCGATTATATCGAAAACTGTTAACTCTTGGCATTAATAATAATTATAACTTTGTTAAATTAAGGTGTCTTTAATATTTTTTAATAAAAATGGCGCTGACTTAAATAACAAAAAAGTTTTATTAATATTTACGCTACAAATGTGGCGCCCCCTATAAAAAGATGGATATAAATATAAAATTATAATTTTTCATACCCAGATACCACCAATTTGAAAGTTTTTATTATAAACCTCCAAAAATGTAAAAATTAATACTTCTTTGTAAAATAATTACTTTAAGATCCACCCTGTATAATTTTCAACATTTATTAACCTAGGTACTCACCAAATAAATATTAATAGCGTGACTATCCCAAAGCACGAAATCTCCATCTTTCAAAGTGGGCACCGTGTGGAAGGGGTTGATTTTCAAATATTCGGGCGTCATATGTTCCCCGACAGCCATATTGATGGGGTTGAGCTCTACGTCAATGCCCAAAGCTTTGACGAGCAATAGCGTACCCCTCGATGCGGCACTTAGATCAGCGTAGTACAAAGTCGGAGCCATTTTAGAAAATTATTTTATTTTTTTAATGTAATTAATATAGTAGGACAAAATATTTCTAAATTCGGCGACGACCTTGAATTGATTGATTTGAACGGAACAAAATCACTGAAACAACTGAAGGTTTCGCGGTCGGGTATACCGGTTTTATACATTTTATCTTTGGTATTTTCCTAGATACAGAGTGTTGTGTTACTCATTCGGTTTTTGTTTGGTGGAGGTGATAAGAGAATGGGCGCCGATCGTTAATTTGGTATTAGTAAAAATGTTATTAATATTCTAAAATAAATTTAACACTCGCGATGATTAAGCATTCTTTAATATTGAAATTGTAGGAATAGATGGTCTTTTTTATAAAACGATGATTATTTTTTAGATTTTGAAAAAGCCGTGCGCTGCCTATTGGCACAGGACTTGTTTTTCTTTATTTTTCCATGTTCCTTTATGCTTAGCGATTGTTGTCTAGTTTCTTACTTTCAGTGTCTTTAAATATTCCTCTTCTTGTTTCCAACTTACTCTTTGTTTTTTCCTTCCTCTATTATTTAACAAGTATATGTCAAATATCTGCTTCACTCTCATTCTCTCACGGATTCTCCAGATATATCACAGTCACCTTATTTTTCGAGTTTTTTGTCATCATAGATTCTTTATATAAATTCTTTATTACACCTTCTTTCCCAAACTCTATTTACCTTCCTCCCCAAAAAATACGTCTCAATATCTTCCTTTTCCATATCTCCAATATATTTGTCATATTTTTGTCTCACAAGCCATGACTATTGCCGGTCTAATTACCCTTTTATATACTCCTACGGCATTTCTAACATTTTTTAATTGTATCAGCTTTCCTATACACATTATTTCCACCTTATTCATGAAACGTGGACCCTAAGTATTAATATTTACCTTTCTACTCTTTCTATCTTTAGGGTCGTGTTCTGAGCAGTTTCTTCTATGGTTAATTTACTGATCTTTCCTCTCTTTTGAAAAAAAAAAAACATTTCCATGTATGTATTTTGTTTTTTGTTCCTTAATTTTTTTTTTGTGTTTTAGTCCCATTTAAATTTTATACACTTCTGTATTTTTGTTTACCATCTGTAGGTGGAATCTATGATTTGTGGCTTCTTCAGGTGATGAAAATCGTTTTGTTGTATTTTGTTTTTATAGAAGACTAGAAAAAAATAACAAATTCCTATGTAATAATTATATACGTTTAATTTTTATATTCTTTAATTCCCTCTATGTTTCCTTTAAATGTCGGGCAAGAAGACTAATAAGACTAAAGTAAAAAATAACTACCTATACATATTTTGGGTCACCCTATATCTATATGAATCTATCCTTAAGATATTTTTTTTACATTGGACGTTCGAATTTGGTTTTGGGATTTTCTTATTGTTGGTTTACGTGCGGTAACCTTATCTTGGTCTTGGGGATTTCGAAACATTTTAATTCAACAGTATATTGCCTGTAGGAAGAGAATATCCTGTCCGCAATTTGAGGAAATAGGTTATGTAAATGATAGTTTTGCGTTAAAAACATATATTTTTAGACTTATCTACATTTTTTAAATAAAATTTGCAGTGTCATAATATAAAAATATCTTTAATACAAAACTACAATCAATCTTATTTATTTAGTTTTGTTCCTTCTGTATGTTCTTCCATTTTAATTTGTCATCTGCTTGTCTTCTTATAAACTAAATTTTGTCTATATTAAAGCAATATAAAAAATCTTTCCAGAATGGTATATTTCATAATGAATCTCTTTTTAAAATCTTCAATTTTTTTAATTTAAAACCACTAGGTACATAGGCTAAATGTATTTTTTAAATAGGTATTAAGATAACCAAATTTTTCTTACATTTAAAATTAGAATACAAAGCAGCAAAGATTTAAAATATGATAATAATTATAATATAACCATAATAATAAGGTACAAAATAAATTTGTAAAACCAATGATTGTACTAAAATAACCTATTTATGATTTATGCAAAAGTTTGGGGGTTTAGGGGATCAATAATCCTAAACATTTTAGGATTAGCATGCCTATTTACAAGTCAAATTGTAACTTCAAAAGGCTAAATATAATTTTTTGTGTTCACTTTTGAATCAAAATCTTTGATAATCGTCATTGAGTTTCAAAATACAAGTAGAACGTTATTGCTATTGCACATTAGCATTTTGGCAGATAGCTTTAGCATTTGTGAGGTTACTGTAGTGCAGGCTTTAGTCCAGATTTATAATTTTTAAAAATAAAAGTTCCGTTTTGGAAATTATAACTCAATATCTTTTTAAAATGGACCTCAAATATTACATGGGCTTCTATTCTATGACATGGGCCTATTTTACAATTTAGCCCACTATGATTGTTTAGTTATTTGGAAGAAGTACAACGACGACCAACATTCACGATGTCATCCACATAGTTGTCAAATTATTATGAGAGAGTATGGGAGAGTATTCTTACAAGGATTGTTTATAGTTATAATTTGGTATTGACTGGGATAAGGTTCTAAAGCGGATGAAAGGTAATAAAAACACTCAGAAAAAGGGCATTTTGAGTTAATTACAGCAAACAAGTTGTTGCATATAAAGCTATTTGTGTGCTAAATGAGTTAAGTTAATAAAGCTTCCTTTGTACACGTTTTGGTGTAGTGTAAATCGAGACTATTCGTTTTTAATGTGCAAAGGCAAGGTATCTTGAGTTATCTTAACTAACACTTAGAAATTATTTAGTACCATTCGAGTCAACGCGAATTATCTCCCAAGGTACTAACATTTCCATTACATATCTCTCTTTAGTTTTGTTTACGTTTAGAACACGTGCGATTTTAGTCGTATTATTGGATTTTGCTAAAATTTTCCATGTAATGAAAATATAAAAAATCACAGTAAAGATACCTGCCAAAAATGTGACAAAATGCAGTGTATGATAAGAAATGCGAAAGATCATCTAGAAAAAGAAAAAGTAACCAATGAATTGAATAAACACCAACAGGAGACCCGAGGGCCGAGATGCATATTCCGTGAAAGAACTGGATAAAGAAAACTAGACTAGTCCAGAGCCGTATTCACGTCTCAGTTGCAGCAATGCCTACCGACTCCAAGTCTGACCCATCAGTGGTGTTTTACAAGCGCCAAATATAGACCTACAACTTAACAATGTATGATTGCGTCAATAACAAAACTACTTGTATGTAGTACGAAGCATAATCTGGTAGAAGTGCAAATCAGGTCGGTTCTTGCTTGTATAAAGAACTTTTGACTATACCACCAAATATTTATTTATTTATTTTACAAACTGTTCTACAGGAAATTACCAGTTAAAGAACAGGCAAAATATGACAAAACAAAAATCTCAGAAAAATACAATGTAAAAAATTACGAAACAAAAGAATAAAGATTTAAGAAAGAAAAAAGACTATTTAAAACGATAAAAGCACAATGCTTTATGTTTTATGTCTAAAATTATAATGTTAAATATATCCAACTAAGAGTTAATGTTGTTGCAATTACTACACCTGCCATATAATGGAGATTTGCTTAAAATGTTGGTGCGAGGAGTGATCAAGTAAAAAGTATTATTGCACCTAGAAGTTTGGCGGGGAATCCTAAAATTTAACATTTAACAATTTATTTGTTGGTTATGACTTTGTGCAGTGTAACCACTGAAAAATACTTGCGTCCTGCTTCAAGACTCGAAAAACTATGTCTTACTAACAGTTCGTTATGTGGGGTGCCAGTTGGAGGATACACTTGGTCTTCTCAGAAACATAAATATTTGAGGAACCGTCTTTGAAGAGCTTCTCATATGGTAACTTGTAACTGGGACTCCATATAACCGAAGCATATTCAAGCTTTGAGCTGATAAACGCATAATAAAGATACTTTGACGTACTTGAATTCTTAAAATCCCGACAGTTCCGAATTATGAATCCGTGCATCCGGCGTGCTGCAGTTAATGTAAGTACCCCTCTATTCTAATATGTGTGGTGGTCAGAACAACAATGGACATATAGTTGCGATGTTTATGGCTTTATGTTTCAAAATTCTAATTTTGAGATAGTGGTTCACAAATTCTTGATACTCGGACACACGAGAATGTAATGTGACACTATTCACTCAATTATTGAGAGAGAAAATATGCATTATGTAAAAAAATTTAAGTTTAAAGTACAGGAAATGAAAAAGGACGATTTTATTGATTTCTCCTTGCTACTGAAAACGTGTCTATCAGCTAGAAAAGTAGATGACCATGGTAAGAAATTTGTATGGAAAAATATAGGATTGATTCGCTATGAAAAACATTCGTTATATTTTCCTACAAAAATAGCCACAACGAAAACGAACCTTTCAAAAAGATGTCCTTTTGCAGAAGAGGTCAAACTTCTCTTCCTGCAGATCTTCCAAAATGCAAATATCCAAACTGTATATCAGATGAGAAGAAAAAGAATTTGATCAAACTACTGCCTTACGTCGATGAAGCATTTTATAATTTTATAAAAATCTACCTACCGAGGGAATTATCAAGGACACTACCAATTTTGGTGGAGCTTCTTCAGATGGTGATTAGTGTATAATGAATTAAGTACTATTTTTTTTTTGTGCACTGTTATTTTTTTTTAAATCAACATGTTATTCTTCTAATTAAGTATGATATTTTATGCTTTACGACTACATAAACGTGTTGCTTAATCAATATTGGTTTAATTTAATATGATTCTTTTTACAAAATTCAACAGAAAATTGAGCCTTTTTAAAAATCAATATATCTCAATACTATTGTTTTCGACTTGTTTCCCTTTACACGCGCCTGAGCGAATTCTGCCTTCAAGGATTTAGGAGAATGATAATATTGTTAGAATAAAATAATTTTGAAATATATCCTTTTTTCCATCTTGTTGTAGGTAGGGTCTGATTACAATTAGAAGAACACAGCTACGTCATCATTTGGCAACGTAATTAATTGTTTATTGCCGCCTAATGGGGGTTTAGTGGAGAGTTAATATTATAGAAATGTAGGAAATATTGTTTTACACCTAACAACTTACTTAATTTTTGTTTATTGAAAGTTATAGATAATATGCATTCAAAATTCGAAGTAATGGTTATGACGTAGCTGTGTTCTTCTAAT